GAATTCTGGGAGTTGAAGTCCTCCAGGCTTAAAGTAGCCAAGGTTGGAGATCCCTGCTTTAGAGAGGCCAGGCCCGGGCTGCATCCTGAATATTTATTTATTTTATTTATTTTTATCAAAAGCTTACAATATAACAGAAACAAGAATAAACAAGTTTAAATACATGAAATGGGAACTAATAATTGGGGACAATAGGACAGGGATGGTAGGCACGATTGTGCGCTTATGCACCGCCCTTGCAGACCTCTTAGGAATGGGGTGAGGTCAATAGAGGTGAGTTTGAGGGTAAAGGAGTGGGGGTTTGAGCAGGTGACAACAGAATCAGGTAGTGAGTTCCAGACATTGATCACTCTGTTGCAGAAATCGTACTTCCTACAATCGAGTTTGGAGTGGTTTACATTTAGTTTATATCTCTTGTGTGCTCTTGTGTTGTTGTTAAAGCTGAAATAGTCATTAGCTGGTGAGACGTTGTAACATATGATTTTATGTACTATGCTTAAGTCTAATCTTAGTCGTTGTAGTTCAAGGTTGTCTAAGCCAAGAATCTTAAGTCTGGTGCTGTGAGGTATGTTCAGAGGCACTCCAGAGTTATTATTTGAAGCTTTTCTAACTTGAAATTATAAAATTAAAAAAGGGGACTTGATGCCTCAACGATTGAGATAGAAGTGGAGATTCCCATTTACCCCCATTCTGTTCCTTTCCATTTGTGGCTGTGTGGCACCCCCCGTAAATCAGTCATGTAAATGGCTGAGTGGGTGGCGGAGTTCAGATATCCCGTTTTTGCCAAGTTTGGCTCCCAACGATTCCATGGGGATCCCTTGCAGTCTCATGATAGAAAGTTTACGACTAACTTCACCCAAAGGTGGTTTTTTCAAGAAGCAACTGGACTTTCTGGCTTTGCTTTGAAGACATTTTGCTTCTCATCCAAGAAGCTTCTTCAGCTCTTAAAAAAAAAAAAAACCACCAGAAAGTCCAGTTGCCTTTTGAAAAAGCACCTTTTGGGGGCAACCATGACCTGGATGACTGAGAATCTCCATAGATATTTAGCATTGACTTTGTTCACCATGGTTTCTCCCTCTCCCTCTGCAAATTCCCACTCCATCCTATAGCCTTGATCTCCAAACCTTGCTTAGCATTTGGAAGATCACCTGCAGCCAATCACCTGCCATAAGTCTGTCAGTGTTAGTGTTGCAGGAAACAAATGATCAGTTTTGAACTTGGAATAGACTGACTATGTAAGAAGTGCATGAACTGTTTGGATGTCAAACAGTTGCCAGAACTAGAGACTTCACTTCATGCCTCTTCAAAGCTTATGAGCACCCAAGGCTATAGGATCAGACTGATCAGTCTTACAGATATATGCCAAATTCTGAACATCCATGCAGAAACGTTTCTAATTAATCAAATTGCCAATTCCATACAGTTTGTTGTACAGGATAACATTTTGTATACCGTATATGCCTTTATTTGTATACATCTTTGTTTTTTTCCAAAAATGGGAAATTACTGTGAACAGAAATAGTTTAGCTTGCTATTTTATTTTATTTTATTATTTTATTTTATTTCTCTAGGACTTGAGAGCAAAGAAATATCTCTTTGTTTTATCCCCACTATTCCAACTCTCTGAGTTAAATTGGGACTGGGATAAAATGACAGGCTCAAAAACCACACAGTCAATTCTGGATGGCTCTTTGCTCTAGTTCACCATCTTGTTCACTGTATTTCATTGACTCTGAAATTTGTGCAGGCATATTTATTATCACAAAGACACACCTTGAATTTACATAAGGATTTAATTGCACAAATAGTGCAAAGGTCTTACACATTTAAACTTTATATGTTTGTACTGTAGCCTCTTTTTGACCAACGAAGATAACGAAGCCTCTTTTTGATCAACTTAGACTTTATTGCTCATGTAACTATGTGTTCTAACCATATAGGAGCAACTTCAGGAATACAAGTCTGGTTGTGACCTGGAGGAAGGTTGGGTCCTTATGTGTAAGCATGCAGATAGTGGGGACAGGCTGGTACCAGTGGAATCTATGGAGAGGATTCAGAGGCAGCAACAGCTCTTTGGGATGGATTTTAAACCAGTAATCAGGTACAGAATCTCACTTCTGCTTGGTTGGCTTTGGATGAGTCATTGTGGAGGATACTGCAAATGTGAATGTAAGCAAATATATTTTATTTGTCCACAAATCTCTGGTTGTCAGAGCATTCTTAGAAAAAAATGTGTGGCACAAAAGGAAGATTCTGGAGAGGGGCTATTTTTTTCTAAAACATGTAGATATGCCCATTTTTTAAATACCATTTGTGAATCATAGTGAATGGTTTGTCTTTAAAAATTATTTCACATTTGTTGATTCATTGATCTGATAAATTTGTATAACAACAAAGATTGTTTGTCTAACAACATGGATTATAAATGTAATGTGCACCTTCCACAGATGGCTACATGTTGGTCCATATTGATTTGTTCTCATAATTTTTTCTTAGAATTTTTCTTTGTAGCCAATCAGTTTCTCTTAACTTGGAGTTGATGTTTATAATTTTTTGGGGTTTGTTTGTTTTTTACTCCAGATGGGAACAGGTGGTGGATTTAACATATTCCTTGCATCTTGGAGCAAAGCCAAAAATCATGGAGCCAGATGTGGCTGCAGTAGAGAGACTTCGGTAATTTCATTTTATTTTGGGGTAGGGTGGGGTACTGGTTGCTTGAGGTAGTCAGTGCATTACTTTGGGAATAGTGTTTCGGCCTATGGAGTTGAGTTAGGCTTTGTCATCCGCCACTAGTGGAAACCGTTCTTTGGTATAAAGCTGACTGAAGTAACACACTGGGAGATATATGGTATTATGGGATGAGGAAATGAAAAATATGACTAAGAATGAAGGAATAAATAGTTTCCAGGTTCTGACTATCCCCCTCAGTGCTCCTTCTGTGCTACTGACTGCCATCACTGTTTTGTAGGTTTGTGCCACCCACATGGAGCTATGAATGTGATGAAGATCTGGTACATTTCCTTTATGACCACATTGGCAAGGAGGATGAGAATCTGGGTAGTATCAAGCAATATGTGGACAGCATCGATGTCTCCTCTTACACGGTATAATATTATCAGTGGATCGGATCTCTTTCTAGGGGAAACTCTTCCTCAGAATATCATCCGTAACTTGTTGTCAAGGATTATGTAGTTGATAAGCAAAACCATAAGGGTTGTCTATAAATATTGTCTGTAAATTGTTCTTGCAACTTTCACAGTCGATGATGAAGGATGAGAGGCATTGTATGCTTACCTTGCTCGGCTCACAATAGAAGCTTCCTCTTATTTTAGTTTTAGAATAACCATTATTCTTCAGACTCTTCAGTATTGATGGGCTTCCATTATTCTTAGCCAGTGTGGCCACGTTGACAGAAAATAACACTACATTCCAACACTTTCACATTTCATTTGCCTGCCTCTGAATTTTGAACTCCCTTTTTTAGTCTTTGTAAAGGATGAGAAACATAGAACTGTGATGACCTCAGGGGTAATGTAGTCCACATACATCCCACCTTGTTCAGTGCAGGTACTGCTAGAGCATCTTTGACTGACAGCTTGCACAAACTGAAAGTTCCTGCTAAGCTGTATCATGTCTCTACCTCCTTCTGTTTTAACCAATTAGTTCTTGTCCTCTGGAATAAGAGAAAATAAGTCCACTTCTTAGTTGTATCTCTCTATACATACACCATTCTTCTGAGAGATTCTGAACTGACTCCAATTTGTTTGCTATGGTACTCCAAATGGGGTCTGAACAGGGCAGCAAATACTGTACTTCATTGAAATGCTTCTCAAGTGAAGCACATTCCATCAGGAACATGTCTGTATGAATAAGTAGGGCTGGTGCTGCTGGGCTAATGTATTGCTGTGCTTCCTTAGGAAGAATTCAATGTTTCATACTTGACCGACAACCACGAAGACACCTACTGGGAGAGTGATGGATCCCAAGGCCAACACTGGGTCCGTCTCAACATGAAGAAAGGAACCATAATAAAGTTAGTAATTAAATATGATCCTTCCTTTCCTAGCCTTTTCTCTGTAAAGCAAGATTTTCTTCCCTGTCATTAGATACAAAGTGATTTAGGGATCAGCCTTTGCAAACAGATTGCTGTTCTAATTCATTTGGCCTTCCCCAAAAACAATTATTCTTCTGTTTTCTGTATTCTATTGAATGTAGATCCAGTAGAAAGATGGGTTTAGACATGTATTTTGTGTGTGTGGTCTTGATTTGTGCCTAGGCATTCTTCTTTCAGAAAAATAAAATTGAGAAATGCTTAACAATGAAAAACATCTGAATTTATTGCACAATAAACTTTTCAAATATTTCCACTATAAATGTAAGGCTAAGACACTATATTAGATTGTATCAGAATATATGCAGTTCTTCAATTTCATGTCCTTTTTATGTCAGAGATACCCTGTTTCTCCAACAGTAGGGCCTCCCCCAATAGGAAGTCCCTGCATGTTTTATAGGCATGAAATGAAATTAAGCCCCTCCCCCCAAATTAAGGCCTATATTAAAACATGCGAAATGGGGGGGGAATGGTGGGGGGGCTTGCCATTAGGAAGTACTTTTGTTGCACACCTGGATATGGTGCTGCCTGCGTTGACCCTGATACGAAGTGCCCCACCAACGCCGAGATCAACATCCAAGCCATCGCCACCCACCCGCCCGAAGATGCAACGGAGGGAATTAAGTCACCCCCGAAAAGACAGCCTAGCCATTTTTTCGGGGCTCAAAAAAAAATAAGACCCGGCCTTATTATATGAGAAACACGGTAGATAAACACTTTTTCTTCCTCCAGTGGCTTTTTCTATTAATAACCTGAAGCTCAGAGTGACACAAAGTGAACCACAGAATTATGAAAGATATACCCCCTCTTCTTAATTCAGAATAGTCTTATTTTGTCCAATTCTTTCCGAAGACTGTTTGAAAAAAGTCCAGAAAAAGACTGAATCTGATTGAACTGTTTTAAGGTGGGCAGTTCTCCTTTCCTTTTCCCTCATATTTTAGGATAGAATAAAACAGAGAACAGAGAACGGAGAACAGAACAGAACAGAACAGAACAGAATAGAATTCCTTATTGGCCAAGTGTGATTGGACACACAAGGAATTTGTCTTGGTGCAAATGTTCTCAGTGTACATAAAAGAAAAGATACATTCATCAAGAGTCAAGAATCACAAGGTACAACACTTAATAATAGTTATAGGGTACAATAAGCAATCAAATCATACTAGGAAACAGTCAATATAAATTGTATTTTCCTCTAATTTAAAAGTTGCAGGAGAGGGTTGCAAGAATGGATGCCAAGAGCGTCTTCATGTTTCCAAACATCTATAGTGATGGCTTGTAAGCATGCCAAACAATCCTTTATTGACAGGAATTCTAATAACTCAGAAAGTTTTCAGCAGGAGTTTTTTTTTTTTTTAAAGAAAGCTCCTTATGAGTTTCCAACCTTCACAGAATTTTCTTGTGACAACTAATTGGGGTAACTGCCGGAATCCTGACATCTTGCATTGGAAAGTTTTCCTTATACCCCTTTGCTTTGCCTCACATTTGTTGTTTCAATTCTCTCCATTAGGAAACTCTTTCTGAGCGTGGATACAACAGATGAAAATTTCATGCCAAAAAGGGTGGCTGTGTATGGCGGTGAGGGTGATAACCTGAAGAAACTGAGTGATGTCGGCATTGATGAGTGAGTCAGGGCCATGGGGGGAGATGGAGGCTAACAGAACGAAGCTGTCCTCCTAAATTTTATTCAAATGGTTTAATAGTTGCCCAGAACTTGTCATTTCCTGTGATATGGGAAGGAGAAGGAGGAATAGAAAATGAAGAGTGTTATATTGATCAAATACTGCTGCAAAGCAAGGAATTAATGGTCCAGTTGCCGCTGGTGAAGTGCTAGGGGTTCATATGTAGTTGTTGGTTGTTGATATTGGGGTCAGTCAAGAGCCACGGTGACACAGTGGTTAGAATGCAGTACTGCAGACTACTTCTGATTGCTGGCTGCCAGTTCAGCAGTTCGAATCTCACCAGGCTCAAGGTTGACTCAGCCTTCCATCCTTCAGAGGTCGGTAAAATGAGGACCCAGATTGTTGGGGGCAATAGGCTGACTCTGTAAACCGCTTAGAGAGGGCTGTAAAGCACTGTGAAGCGGTATATAAGTCTAAGTGCTACTGCTGTTGCTATCATATCTCAGGGAATTAAGGCAGAAAACATTATGAATAAGCCCACAAATCATTACTATCTTAATGCTTTTATTAACCTGCCTGGAATTAACAGAGTAAGAAGCAAGAACTTCATCTCTTTTGCTTTGGGCTGACCTATCATCAGGTTGCATAGAGAGAATAGAAATTCTTTGTTTGGCAATCTGTTTGGTTTCTATACTGGGCTCACAAAGATAGCAACCAACCAGTTTTAGCTAATTTTCTGGTATGCAATTCCTTGTTGTCTAAGGCTTTATCCTACAAATCAAAGTAGAGGACAGCATTATTAATATCAGCATAATTATAGAAAGAAACACTGCAGAGGTAATCCTCCTTATCAGCTGCCTCATTTAGCAACTATTGGAAGATACGAAGGTATAACAAGAAATAGCTTTGCAATAAATCTTTACATTTACTATTTTTGGTGTTTTCTGGTCACACGATCACCATTTGAATGCTTAATGACTGGTTCCTGGCAAGCAGAATTAATAGAGAATGCTGCAATAAAATTGCAAGTCTCAGTCACATGGCGTCTCATTTTACAACCATAATGATTCATTTAACAATTGAATAGGAAGTGATGTCATGAGCCTGATTCAGTCATGTGATTTTCAGCTTAGTGTCTGCAGTATTTAGTAATGGAGTTGCCAGGGCTAATTGTGGTTGCTACGTCAGGACTACCTGGAGTTATCTTTATACATAACACTAGGCAGTGTTATGTATAAATAGATATAGGCAGTATCTACAGTATATATTTTAACATTTTGCCTAATATCTGTAGGTAGCTCTTATATGTCCTATCTGCAGTGGTGTATTAACATTAAGTAGACTAAGCACATACTTAGGGCACCAGGCCCAAAGGGAGCACCACAAAGTTGAGAATATGGCTTTGTTTGTACAGTATGTACAAAGTGGGGAGAGCACCAAGTTTTGTCAGTGCTTAGGACACCAGTGAGCCTTAATCCGCCACTGCCTATCTGACACCACTATTTTAGGAGTCAAATTTCTACCATCCTTTCCCGCTCCCTCCTCGCCCATCAGAGGGAGTTTGATAGATCAATTTGTGCAATTCAGAAGGTTGGAATGAGAACTAGGAGTCTTTGGGTCCCAGTTGCCGTTCACAACCCAATGTAACACAGTCCCAGTTTTCAGATACATAAAATTGAAGTGTTGGCCGAGGGGAGGGTTATACTACTATGTGCAAGATGAAACAGATGATGATTTATTTATTTATTTTTTTGGTCCCTAGGAGCTACATTGGGGATGTATGTGTGCTGGAAGACATGACAACTCACTTGCCAGTCATTGAAGTCCGCATTTTGGAATGCAGAGGTGTGTGGGTGTCAATATGAGGATGAAATGTTTAATCTTTGGGAGGATCATTTGGTAATTCTGAAACTCTAGTTTTTGGGATTTTATTACACCTGTACGCAATTACAAAGAGCCAGATGTAATGATGTTGGAGGGATAGCAGTGGTGGTATTCAGCTGGTTCGCACCGGTTCGAACTGGTTGTTAACTTCCTGAGCACTTTGGTGAACTGGTTGTTGGAAGAAATCATTAGGGAGGAGGACCAGTTGTTAAATTATTTGAATCCCACCACTGAGGGATAGACAGATAGACAGACAAACACACACACACACATATTATAGTTTTAAAAAGAACATAAAAACTACACAAATTTATACCGAATAAAGAAAACAATGAAAGAAAAACAGAGCCAAAAGGAAAAAGACAAAAAAAACATTCTTTTACTTGATTTTTGCATTCTTCAACAATTACTTCTTTCTATAACAGCACATTGTTTAGTCTCCATCTGAAAGAACTAGATTTTCTTTTATAAACCAGACTTAACAGGATTATGGTTTGCAAAAAACCTCTCTTGGTAAAATATCTACTTTGGGAAATCTAGTTGCCAAGCCTCTTGAAATCCAAATCATCTCTATTCTTTAAAAACACCTGTAATCCTTTTGAAGAACATGTATTTTCTTTTGGTGCCATTTTTCTGCTACGTATTTCCAACCCCCCACGCCAAACAATAATTTATTCTCTCTGTACAAAGGAATTAATTATGTCTTTAAATTATTTGCCTTCTGCATATGGTCCTTTTCTGCAGATGATGGGATTGATGTCCGACTCCGGGGCATAAAAATCAAATCTTCTCGGCAACGTGAATTGGGGCTCAATGCAGACATGTTTCAACCAGCCAACCTAGTGAGGTATCCACGACTGGAAGGGAGAGATCCTGATGTGCTTTATTGGCGTGCTGTGATCCTGCAGAGGTATGGAAGTACTAGTTAGGAACACGGATAAAGAAGTTTTAATGAGCCACATTTCCACAACTGTGGATGGGAATAAGAAAATATGCGAGAGGTCTCGGCAAGCAGTTGAATTAATTAAAAGAGCAGATCTTTTTTTATCATTATCCCATCGTAGGCGTGTATCAATTTTCTTCTAGTGTAATAGTATGTGGGGAAAATCTCGGGAGACTGAACCAAGAGAAACTGCCTAGGACAGTGGTTTTGGGCTCCTGTGCCAAAAATTGCACATGCGCCAGCATGCACGCACTCGTGTGCCAACACCCAGAATGCAATGCACGCCCCCCTCCCCATGCCCCCTGCACATGCGCATGCAATCCCCGCCCTTACCTGCACTGCGCCTCACAGCTGATTTTTCAGTTGGTTTGAGGCCTTTTTCGGCCTTCCAGAGGCTTAGAAAAAGCCTCTGCAAGGCTTTTCAGGCCAAATTATAGGCCTGTTTCATTATTTCTGGTGTTACAGGAAATGACGAAAGAGGCCTATAATTCATCCTGAAAAGCCTTGTAGAGGCTTTTTCCAAGCCTCTGGGAGGCCGAAAAAGGCCTCAAACCAACTGAAAAAAAAAATCAACTGTGAGGCGCACGCATGCGCAGTGAGGTAAGTTTGCCTGCAGCTCACATGCCAGCACAAATGGCTCTGCGTGCCACTTGTAGCATGTGTGCCATAGGTTCGCCATCACGGCCTAGGATACGGCCAGAGGAGAGAGAGCATAGTCTGCAGCTTCATCGTGAGCAGGGTAAAAGGGTCTTCGGACTCTCTCTAATTTCTCAGATTGTAAAGGAGATTGAGGGAAGAAGGATTGCACTTTGAGACTTGCAAGATTGATCAATGTCAGTTACTAGGCACAGGAAACAGGAAACATGGCCAGATGAGCTAAGTCTATATTGTAAAGTTACACTTAAGTCTCAAAGTATAATTCTTCCCATCTCCTTTGTAGGTGGAAAAATCAGGGAGGGTTTCTTCTAAACCTCTTTTCCACATACCATTCCACCTAGGAATACTAGATCTCTTTGATTGCAATGCTGAAGCACTGCTTATTTGAGTGCCTACTTCCATAAACCAGGAAGCATCTCATTCTTCCACTAGCCTTTCCTAGTATTATGACCATGTGAATTCTCTTCATTTTCATTGCTGTTCTTCATTTCATGGTTCATAGTTTCCCGGCAAACGTTTTTTAATTATAAAGGCTCAGAGAATTTGTTTGGGTGGGAGACACATTTCAGAAATAAATAAATAATCCTCAGTGTTAGAGGGATGCATAGAAAAAATTAGGAGGAAAAAATACTGTCTTGAGCTCCTTCTGGACAGATGGAATATAAATCTATAATCATAATATTGTTCTATTTACATAGTTAATCACATGGTACCCCCACCATCATGCATCGCTATATATCATTTAGATCTTGTTTCCATATTTTTGGTGCTGTTTCTTTTTGTTGGGATAGGTTTATCAAGATCTTGGACAGTGTGCTTCATCACCTTGTACCAGCCTGGGACTACACACTCAGCACCTTCAATGAACTAAAGGTGAGGTGACTAAACCTCCTATTGATGGATCTATACCTGTGTTGTTGTTTTTCACAATCAATGCAGTAATAGTGACCATTCAGTAGTAGCCAAACCTGCCTTTCCTTGGAAAAACTGAAGCAGTTGAATGAATGTATCTGCTCCAACCTAACTAACATTGCCATCCTGTTTCTTGAAGGTGAGTTGAAAATGATGTAGCAGAGAAGATGTGTAAGCTGGGGGGCTCTCCTTCAATCATTATATAAGCAAGCCCGGCCTTTTGAAAAGGATGGCTCTCTAACTTCACTTTAACAAGAATGTGCACGTTGTGTTTTCTTTTCACATTTCAAGTTCATTTTTCAAGCTTCAGAAAACCTTTTCTATTCATCGTTCTAATCGGATCCTTTTAAACCTGAATTTAAATTGATATGGCCATTTAAAACCCAATTGAATGATTGAACTGCAATTCTTCGTCCTCTGTGGTATCCGCAGGTCGTCCTCATTTAACAAGCCCTCGTTTAACCAATAGGAACTGCAGCAATTATACAAGATTGCTCATAAATCTTCAATAAATAAAAAAACATCAACACTTTTAATGAGAGATGGGAATGACTCTGTTTATTAAATGCACATTTTCCTATATCAGAGTGTTCCTAGTAGGAAAAAGAACTAAGTTATCCGCTTATCAAGAATACTTGGGTGGTGGTCATGATGAGAGCCCAACTGGCTGGAAAAGTGAGGGAAAGTGTGTTAGATATTGGGCTATTTCCCTCTTTGAACCAATTGTTGTCCCCTGACAGCATATCAAACAGTTTCTGTTGCTGTCCAAGCGACGCACAATGCTAATCAGCCAGTGCCTCAAGGACTCTGAAACCAGCAAGCCCAACTTCATGCCACGTCTCTACATCAACCGGCGCCTAGCTATGGAACATCGCGACAATCCTGCCCTTGACCCTACCTGTAAAAACACTGTCTTCACCCAGGTAAGTGGAAACACATAGAATAGCAGGTCCTTCTCCCCTATGGGATCCTCCAGATATGTTGGGACAATGATTTCCCAAACTGCTGTCTGATATTCTGGGAGGTATGGAACTAGCATCTAAAGAGTACCAAAGTAGGAAAGATGTATTAATATTATTCAAGAGTAGTAATTTCCTTCTGTATTTCAAAGTGCCTTTTTATGCTTTGCTCTTGATATAATGAATGAAATGCTGTTGATGTCTGTATCACAGCTAACAAGCAACCATGGTGCAGCCTTTTCAAGATTGGGAAGCATCACTTTGGGATTCTTCAATTTTTAATAGAACGTTTACAGGAATTTTTAATTTGTGTCATGTATGTGTGATTTGTCCTCTATGATGGGTCCATGGCCCCCGGGCTGTGGCCCACTACCAGGTCTTGGTCTATTCGCAACTGGGCCACGCGAATGGAAGACCGGTGCACATGTGCACACGCAGGCACAGCGCAACTTGCACAAGAGGCCGGCCAGTGCATGTGCACACATGCGTAGCTCAACGTGCACGAGTTTAGCTACATGCGCATCTGTGCCAGCATGCTGCTTGCACTGTGTGCCAGTCCGGTACTCATGTGACCCACTTCTCCTCTCCCTCCCTCACTGGGCTGCCAAGCCACAAAGGTTGAGGATCACTGCTCTCCAATCCCCAGGCTACAGAATGGTACTGGTCTGTGGCCAGTTAGGAGCTGGGCTGCACAGCTGGAGGTGAGCAATAGGTGAGCAAGCAAAACCGAAACCATCCTCCCCAAGTCCATGGAAAAATTATCTTCCACAAAATTGGTTCCTGGCATCAAAAAGGGAGTGCTGCTCTATGGTATCCACAGGTGATCTTCGTTTTAACAACCTCTCGTTCAGGGACCATTCAAACTTAAACGATGGCACTGAACGACTGATAGCTATGACCAGTCTTCGTGTCCTGATGTACTAATTGTTTCCCTTCCAGTTTCCTGCAGAATTAAAATGCACTTGATGGCTCCAGGGGCAGGATATTCTTGCTTTGCTATCTATAAGCACCATTGTGGACTATATTTTGTTCCACTGTTAAAGCTTTAGCTGCACTTTCTGCTCTTCTTAGGTATATGAAGGCCTGAAACCTTCTGACAAGTATGAGAAGCCACTGGATTATAGGTGGGTAATCCTTGAACTATTTGTCTTTCTTTCTTGCCCTTTTCTATTTCAAGTTTTTGGGGCTCTGAAAATTTAAAGGCCTGTATGACAACTATCATAGAATTTGCAAATAAATCAAAAGTTCATTTTTCAAGGAAAGATAAAACCAAATATTAGAGGTCCTTGATGCTCTCTGAGTATGGTCGTTTTCTTGCAGACATTTCATTACCGAAGCTAAGTATTATCATTGCCATTGTTTTGGGATTGCACCCTACATGCCTATTACTATGTACCTTACTTTTGCCACAGTCATTCTATTTTTATCACAGGTTATCTAACTATTAATATAATCTTCATAATTGGCTCTAATATTTTGACTAATAACTATCCCACTTGATAACTCTGATTTTTATTTTATCCCAGGTGGCCATTGCGGTATGATCAATGGTGGGAATGTAAATTCATTGCTGAGGGCATCATTGATCAGGGTAAGTTTGAAACTCTGCATAGACCCAAATGATGCCTTGCTTAAATTTAGCCTTTAGTGCTCTGCATTGTTCAATAAAAGGCAAATAAAAGCACTTTTCTTGGCTTTGTGTTTCAGTTTTGAGGAACTGGAATTAAAATGGCCATGTAAAGGTCTAAAGAGCATTTTTGTTTTATTTTGTTCCTTGGTCTCAATTTGTGTTATTTTATTATGCCCACCATTATCGCAATGGTACCTGCAGATATTATTGATTTTGATAATTTGTAATTGAGCATTTAGATTTTCTGTGGATCATGTTTGGATTATAGGCAGCACATTATCAAGGTTATAGGATTTGAGACCTGGAAATTCGGCTATTGCAACAGGCAGAAAAATAGTTATTGTGTATCTGTATTTTTAGTAGTATCAGTTTTTTTCTTAGAATAGTTCTGCAAAGTCCTGATAAAATAAGAATAGATTACACAACTCATAATTTTGATTCTCCCCCCTCCCCCTGTAATTTCCCCCGCAAAAAATGGACTTTCTAAAGTAATGGGAATGGGAATATCAGAAATCCAGGGAAAGTCGATGTTTGACAAAAAGGTAAAATGTGTTCCCTTTTATTTTGCTTTGTTTGTTTTCTTTCTGACAGGTGGTGGTTTCCGGGACAGCATTGCTGATATGTCTGAAGAGTTGTGTCCTAGTTCATCTGAGACGCCCATCCCACTGCCATTTTTTGTCCGCACATCCAATCAGGTACTATTCCTTGCTCAAACCAAAATTAGATCAAGCCTTTTAGGTCTTAAGGCCAAGATAAAAGCTACCTAAGAAGAAAATTAATGGCAAAGAAACAACACTCAGTGTTCCGGAGCTTTTTCCAATGCCATTGAATTAAGTCTTCCAGAACTGTATTTCATCTGTTACGCCTGCTTGTTCTGCTCAGTGTGTTAAAAGTGCTTCAAATCAAGATTGTTGTTTTTAATTTCTTGTGTCCAGGTTAAGGCACTAACCTGGACACAAGAAATGTTGCAGTATCTCTGTTGGCCTTTGGTGGATTTTCTTTTGCTAGGTGCTGTCGTGTTCAACTGGGAGTTCTTGTACGGAGTTATGCTGATATAATCGTTATACTATTGCTTAGTTGATTGTTTTAAGTAAGATATTTGTCGTTTTAGGGCAGTGGAACTGGAGAGGCCCGAGATATGTATGTCCCAAACCCATCCTGCAAGGAATTCCTCAAATATGAGTGGATTGGGCAAATAATGGGTGCAGCTCTTCGTGGCAAAGAATTTCTGGTTAGTATTCAATATCGACTAATTTCTCTTTGATACCAGAAGCCATGTTTCTTCATACTCAACTCACTTCATACTTTCTATAGACATAAATTTTCTGAACATGTGCTCTGTCCTTCATTTATATAATCATTTGAAAGAATCAAAAATTATCACTCTCTTGTGTCCCAAATATAGCTATAGGAATAAAAATGGGGTGTGTATGTTAGATACCTCCATGTTTTTAAAAATTATTAACCTGCAAGTCTACTCCCCTTATGTCCTATATCACTGAAGGTGAGGGAATAGTGGAAAAATGTCATTCCAGAAAGAGTGTTTCATTCTTATTTATTGATCAAATTGAGGCATATGTTCTCTTTTCTCTTGGATTTCTTTATTCATGTTTATGCTATTTCCTTTCATATATGCATTTGGTTTGTTAATTCAAAAACTTTGTTTCTTTTTTTGATTTAGAATTTTGACATAGCCTAGGGTCAAGGGTAAGCTGTCTTTTTCACATCAATTAGCAAACATTTTCTATCTGAAACTATAAATCAACACAGCAAAGAACTGACCAACATCCTTCTTTTCTATAGAGCCTATTCTCATCAGACATTTGAGATAACTTGGGACAATATTTCCTAGTTCGTTGTCACAAATTTAAGTGTTTTTACAAGAAGCTGCACTGGCAATAGAACACCTTCCTCCTGACCCTTGGTCATACTATCATGCAGTTAGGAAGGGGCAATGCCAAACTAAAAATATTTATAGTGGGTCCTTCTCAGTACAAATTATCCTTCTCTTTAATGGAGGACAGTTGACCAAATAACTTCCAATTCTGGATATGGGCATGTCTGATATACAAATAGCAAGTTCCTTAGCTTTAGCATGTGTCAGCCATTCCAATTTTTTTTGACTATGATGCCAAAGAACTCTAACACTATTTTGTTATAAGGTTACAGTGACAAAACTTTGCAAGTCTGAATGTGCTTTTTCCTCCCTTTATTCTCAGAATTATTCCTACTGCCCAGTTCATTGCCTAAGATTATGGTATTCTTTGGAATTAATGCCTTAAATGAGAGACAATATTCTGTTTTATTATTATGTATATACATTTATTAAATTTATTTTTAAATATCACTTTAATAAAAAGCTCAAGGCAGCTAACAAAAAGAAATGCACTTAAAATAATTTCAAGATACTGAAAAACATTGAAACATATCACAAAAAAAAACCCGAAGCAGCAATATTTGAAATAAGTATCTTTGCTTCATTTTTGAAGAATTTGTTTGGACATAGAGTGTCAAATGATGGCAACTACCCTTAAAATGCTGCTTCTCTTCTTTTCTGTTCAAGGTCCTTGCCTTGCCCGGCTTTGTTTGGAAGCAACTGACAGGTGAAGAAGTGAGTTGGAATAAGGATTTCCCTGCTATTGACTCAATGCTTGTAAGTCATGAGTAGCATTTTTGTTTCAGGGTTAAAAACTGGTGTATAGGCTGTTGGGGACTAAAAATATGGAACAATACATAATTGAGCTAATGGCTTGAACTTATTTTTTAAAATAGTCATTGAGAAGGAGGGATAAAACTTCCTTGCACCTTAGTTTTTGTAGATAACTAGAAATATCACAATGTTTATCAAAACCATCAGAATGTATCTCTTAAGCATAATAATTTGTTGTTGTTTTGAAAACACTTTGACCATAGGTTATTACATCACATAACGATGACTTCAATTTAATCAAAATCCCAGCGATCTCTTTCTAATTTTCTTGGTTTCTTTCCATGCTCTCAGGTAAAACTTCTGGAGATGATGGAAGGAATGGACAAGGAGACCTTTGAATTCAAGTTTGGGAATGAATTGACCTATACCACCGTACTGAGTGACCAGCGCATGGTGGAACTTATTCCTGGTGGCATTCGCACTGTAGTACACCATGAAAACCGGCTAGAGTTCATCCATCTGGTACAGAAAGCACGGCTGAATGAGAGTAAGGAACAGGTAATTATTGTGGCATTTTAGTAGTATAATTGTTACTTTTTTCTCTACAGTTTATCATCAGTCTGTACCAACATGTTTTAGGAAATATTGGGCATTGTTTAAGCAAATTGATTACAGAAAATTTGACAGAAAATTATACATTCTCAGACTTGTCAGAAAAGAGTTATTTATTTTTAGAAGAACTTTTTTCCTACGCATCTGTTTTTGATCTTACATATTCTTTTCTTACCTCTTTTTCCTAATCCAGATTGCAGCCATGCAGGCTGGACTTCTGAAGGTAGTTCCTCAGGCTGTCTTGGACCTACTCACTTGGCAGGAACTGGAGAAGAAGGTCTGTGGTGACCCTGAAGTTACAGTTGAGGCCTTGAAGAAGCTCAGTATGTATCTCTGATACTTGGACTTCCTGTTGTGTATTAGAATGCTCTCATCTTGAGGAATATACTGTACATGTTCTTCATTGTACCTACTATTAGCTCCACATGCAATTGCTAGTTAGTACAGAATCCCAGCACCAGTTACTTTATTGAAAAAGTGTGTGGTGAGTTTGAGCTAATTTAGTAAAATCTTTTGCCTCCCAACTAATGGATATTTTTTCATCTCTAATCAGCTGGATCTTGGTATGTAGTTGGCATTACTGTTTCTGTACTGTTTTTATCTTCTTACAGCTCGCTTTGAAGATTTTGAACCATCAGACACCAGAATTCAGTACTTTTGGGAGGCCTTGAACAACTTTACTAATGGTGAGCAGAGTAAACAAATGTTCACTGTTATGTAATAGTGGATATAAGGGATTTTCTGCCATTTATTGAATGATTGCAGAGTCAAGTATATTTTATGAAACTTTTCCCATTGAGAACTACCAGTCTCTCCTGCAGAACCCATTGTTGAGAATTTTTCTTCTTTAAAAAAAAATCATTTCAGATGAGGAGGGGCGGAAGTGATGTCAGATTAAGTAAATAACAGCAGAATACAGAGGGTGAACAGTTTTCACCACAACTGCTATCATATATTTGGTTGCAAGTGACATTTTGACCCATTGAATAAAAAGTAATTCCTGCTTTCCAAGGCTAGCATTTTATGATAGAGCAGAGGTGGGAAAAGATTTGCAGACTTCAACTCCCAGAATTATGCTGGCTCAGGAATTCTAGGAGTCCACAAGTCATCCCTATTTCATTTTCAAAGAGGTATATTATGGAGAGGGACTTGTGATGAACTGATGAAAGCCATGTACTTTTCTCCTTAGAGGATCGTAGTCGCTTTCTGAGATTTGTTACGGGGAGAAGCAGACTTCCAGCTCGAATTTACATCTATCCTGATAAATTAGGGTGAGTCTTTGGGAGAGAAGACTGATTATTGGTCCTTTGGAGTTTTATTATCTGGTAAATTCTTCTGACTTACCTTGTTTTCTTCTGTCTTATGGCCAAGCTCGGAGACCACTGATGCCCTCCCTGAATCATCCACTTGCTCCAGCACGCTCTTTTTGCCCAACTATGTCTCGTAAGTCTTACTCTAGAAGACATTTTTATGGTTGAGCAGAGGTGGGGAACGATGGCCCCTTTAGGATTTGCAGACTTCAACTCCCAGAATTATGCTGGCTCAGGAATTCTGGGAGTCCACAAGTCCTAAAGGGGCCATCATTCCCCACCACTGTGAGGTAGAGACACAGGAAAGAAAATTTGGGGAAGATTAGATAAGAGCAGAACAGCAAGGACTGTTACATGCTGACCAGGAAAGTGATATTCACAGTAGATAATGATAACACAGTTATGGAGTGGAAGAATTAGAGAAATGTAAGAAGTATTAATCTATAGTACAACACAGGAAATGGAGTCTATGATAGTGAGGTAACTTTCATTGAACAACCATAGACAGGTAAGCCAGAGAGTACTCTGTACTATGGGGATTTTCAGAATACCTGGAAATGTTAATCTAAGTTTTTTTATTTTTAGTGCCAAAGTTTGTGAAGAAAAATTGCGTTATGCCGCTTATAATTGTGTGGCCATTGATACCGACATGAGTCCATGGGAAGACTGAAACCTGGAAGGATGCTGGTTTTGCTGATGGTGGTCTGATTTTTGTCCTTGCTACCTGGAACAAGCTCTTGCACTCTGTTTATCCTGACCCACCTTCCACATAGTGTATATGGGTGTACATATCTAGAAAATAAAATATCAAATGTGAACATTATGTTAACATGCTGCTTTTCAAGAGAAGCTTGAGCAAAAGCTTCCAAGCAAAAAGCTAGATAAGATTTGTGATATAGTTCCCTCCTGAAGTCTTTTTACTTTTTTGTCTTTTTTCATTTCTGTTTCTTCCTTAGACTGCAGTTGATTGACACGTATCTGGGAGTAAGCTTAACGCAACTCAGTAGGGTTTGTTTTTTGATTACACATTTGGACCAAAAATGTGTGAATTACACGCAAAACATATACTTCCCTGCCCCTAATTCATCCAGAGATTATATTTCAGAGTCTCTTTTGCAGCAGTCAAGCTATTATTTCCAACCACTTGCCTGTTTTTATGCAAAACCACAAATGTATCTCGGTTCCCTTCTTTTTTGCCTGAATTCTTATTCTGACAATTGTACCTTAATGATTTTTCCTTTAATAGCTGCATAAACACCTCTGACCACAAGTGGGCATTGTGGAACCATAATTGAAAAAAAAAATCCCTGCCTTAGTCAACAGTTAACATCACGTTTTGGGGTTTTATTTTAATGGTCAGCACCTCCCTTTCCTTCCCTTCTTAAACCTCTGCTTCATACAACCCAAAGGAAACTAAGGCAATTCTCTGCCTGTGATGGTTAAGGAGTAAAATGTTCATCTGCTTATCCCAACCTAGAGCTATTTCTTCTGGCTAAGACCCTTAAAGCCTTTCCCAAGTGTTCTACCTCTTGATTACTATCTTGAGTAACATTGCTAAAACGTGCTAGTTTCTGAAAGCTGAAATCCCAGATCTGTCCATTTATTGTGCAAATAGGTACAACCTGGAAAGAGCTTTGGGGTGGGAAGGTGTCAGAAGAGCAACAAGTTTTTTGACAAGGGATAGCAGTAGTGATTTACTCACCCTAATTCATACTGCCAACCTCCCCTTTTACTTTACTCACATGGTCACAGCTGTATTGGTACATTTGCCTGTTGATGCCCCAACACAAAGATTTTGACTGGATGGGAGACCTGACTCCTCTGCCAACATTGCACATGCGGTGGGCTGTAGGTTAGCCACCTGGGTGGCCCGCCCAAGCTGGCGGCTATTGTTGCCACATAATGGGCTTGATTGGTAATTGGGGAAGGGAATATGGCAGGAGGGGGGAAGGGAGAAGAAGGACGGGTGTCATCTCTGCAGCTGGGCTTTTGTCATGCAAAGCGGGGAGCAGGAAGGGAGGCTTCTCGGTTATCTGGCAGCTTCTCTTCGGGGCTGCTCCCTTCTTTTACGCTTTATTTTCTTCATTTCTATTTTTAAACCGTGATCTTCACTTCGCCTTTCCAGACAACCGAGGCTTCTCCATCTGTCGCCCTACAGCAGACCAGCCCGGAAAGCCTGTGAACTCTTGTCAGGGAAGGCGCAGATGAAAGCATTGGGGAAAAGGGGTGTGTGTGTGTGTGGTGTGTGTAGGCGTCTGATTCTGCCGTATTCATTGCATCTACCTCTTCATCACTGAATCGGACAGGAAAAGCGCGGGGAGGGAGGCGGGCGTAGAGGCGAGGGGCTTTCGGAGGTGCTGGCGGCCCCCCGAGGCGAGTAACAAGAACCGGGGATTAGGCGGGGAGGCCTGCTAGGCGAGGACGTGTAAGTCCCGTACCGCCTGTGGCGGGGGATTAATTACGGACCACCCAGCTGGCGGGGAGGGCACCGGCAGGAAAGTTGTGTCCCGAGTTCAAGAGGCAGAAAAGACGCCTGTTGGCTGCCGGGCGGCTCGGGGAAGAGAGGAGAGGAGCGCCCCGCGAGCCGCCTGGCCTTTTCCCTCCTCCCGGCGCTGCCGATGGAGGGCCGCTTCCGAGCTCCGAGCCATGTTTAGGAGGAGCTCGACGCAAGGCCAAGAGGACGTAGCCGACAGCTCGGCATGGCCGAGACTTTTCGGACAGAGGCGCCTCGGCCCTCCGGGAGTTTGTGGCTCTGCTCTGCTTACTGGGCTTCAGTTTCCTTCCTGAAACTGCAGCATCTCTCTCTCTCTCTCTCTCTCTCTCTCGTAACGAAGTTGGAAGGTACCTTGGAGGTCATCTAGTCCAATCCCCTTCTCGCTATTTCTGATAAATGGCTATGCAATTTCTTCTTAAAAAACCTCCAGTGATGGGACACCCACAAGTTCTGAAGGCAATTTGTTCCGCTGGTTAATTATTCTCATTGTTAGGAATTTTCTCTTTAATTCTAGGTTGCTTTTCTCCTTGGTTAGTTTCATCCATTGTTTCTTCTTGCCTACAAGTGCTTTGATAAACAAGTTGGCCTCTTCCCTGTGGCAGACCTTCAAGTACTGGAGGATGCTATCTTGTAATCCCTGATCCTGGTCTTTTTTCTAAACTAAGTATACCCAGTTCCTGCAATCGTTCATCGTATGTTTTAGCTTCTAGGCCCCTAATCATTTTTGTTGCTATTCTCTGAATTGTTTTCAAAGCTACATGCACCAAAACTACATGCAGCATTCTAAGTGTGGTCCTACCAAGGCTTTGTAGAGCAGTACTAGTACTTCAAGTGATCTTGTTTTTACCCCTCTGTTAATGCAACCTAGGATTGCATTGGCTTTTTTGGCTGCTACCAAAAAAAAAAAAAACAATGCTCTCTCTCTCTCTCTCTCTCTCTCACACACACACACACACACACAATTTTTATTAGAGTTTATAAATACAGTAAGACTAATACAAATAATTAAGAAAAATATAAAAAAGAAAAAGTACCAAGAGATAGAAAAAAACATAAAAAGTAAGAAAACCATATACTGTAAGTATGTATATATATGATATATTTGTATGTATATATATGATCTCCCACACCCCTTTAGACAAGCATAAACAATTTTTATAACTTTATATCTTCTCTAATATTTGAACTTTTTAAAAAAGTTCTCATCTTCCCCTATATCAACTCTTATCAATGAATCCTTTAGTTCCAATCAGCAAAAAGCAATTAAGAGTTACCAGAAATAAGTAACATTTTAATTTTGATCTAATAAAGCCACTCTGCATTCCAATTTATCATTTTCAATTTATCATTTCAGAAAGAAATATATCTTCTGGGGCAGCGTTTCTCAAATCTTATATCCACTCAGTGACAATTAAGTAAACATTTGGAAAAGAATTACCCAATTAAACAAATGTCTATATTTTGAGAGCTGTGGGAGCGGGGAGAGTGGGGACTTTGTTATATTTTTTGGTGAACAAGAGAATTATAGTTGCATTTGTGTCAAAGGCCTAAATTTGTTACAAAAATAAAAAGTCCAAACTCAAGAATCCGTTCGCTAGTTGAATTATTTTATGCAACCCCCGGAAAATAACTATTAGCAAACTTAATGGTCAAGAATGCTTGTCTAGAAATTTCTGAGGGGTAAATGGTCTCCACCCTCAGGGAATCTCACTTTAAATATTGCTGTATTTCCTGTTTGCGCTTTTCTTTGGGACTTGCTTGTGTGAGTTCATGTTTGGATTATTGCTTGCAGGGCCAGTGAAGTAATTTTGCAAATTTGACTGGTGGTAAACCAGGGGTGTCCAACTTTGGCAATTTTAAGGCTTGTGGACTTCAACTCCCAGAATTCCCCAGCCAGCATTCTGAAGTCCATAAGGTTTAAAGTTGTCAAAGTTGGACACCTCTGTGGTAAACTGAAGGAAGCTGCAAGGAACCTTCTGGAACACCTCTACCAGCAGTCTGTGGAGGACAGCCTCGGAATCACTGTGGGTTGAAACCTGGGCAGCAGCTGGAGACCAAGTCCCTTTACAGGTAGTCCTTGACTTACAACAGTTCATTTAGTTACCAAAGTTACAATAGCACTGCAAAAGTGACTTATGACCATTTTTCAGTTATGACTTTTGCAGCATTCCCATGATCATGTGGTCAAAATTCAAATGGTTGGCAACTGGTTCATACTTAAGACTGTTGCTGTGTCCCAAGGTCATGTGGTCACTTTTTGCGACCTTCTGACAAGCAAAGTCAATGGGGAAGCCAGATTTGCTTTACAACCGTGTTACTAGCTTAACAACTGCAGTGATTCACTTAACAACTGTAGCAAGAAAAGTCATAAAATGGGGTAAAACTCACTTAACAAATGTCTCATTTAACAACAGAATTTTTGGGGTCAATTGTCATAAGTCAAGGACTACCTGTATTAAGGCGGCTATGGGAGCTGGAGGGCAGGGAAATAGTGTAAAAGCAGGGGAGGAAGTCGAAAGAGCCAGGAATGGATTAGGAATGGTGAGAGCTGGTTCCATTCCACCCTTATTTTCCCCTGACTTTGGGCTAATGTTTTTCTTCCAACAAAATGGTTGATGTTGTAGGGAAAAATAGCAGAAAACATTTCGTTTGCTATCTTGTGTTCCTGAATGAAAGCAAGAAATAAAAGTGTTTTTTGTTTCCAGGAATTAATGGACATCATCTGGACTCAGATTCCCAATCTTGAATTTGTTCTGAGGAGAACTGATCATAGACCTTCCACAAATGTGTATATTCCTTTCAGTTTGCAATTCAGTGGTATAATTTATGTAGCTACATAATACATGTGTCATTTTAGTGCTGCTAATGGTAAACAATGGGAAACTGAAAATCTTCATATATCATCCAGAAAACTGCCTATAAATTTTTCTGCCTATCTATACTGGGAACAATGTTGACGGTTTTGAACTGTGTTAAATGATGAAAGCAGCTGGAAAAGAAAAATTCTACGCATTGCTCAAACAGGCAATACTTTAGTTGGGGTTGATTTATTTGCTTATTTAGTGCTGGAACTTCAATTATCATAAAGACAAAAAAAATCCAGTCGAACATCAGTTTTCTTAGGATTGATGCAGTTGTGAATGTGTGAATGTGTGCATTAGTATCTATATCATCTGTGTGAATGGCTGACTGCCTTCAATTAAATCAAGGCTGAAGAAAGACAGTCTCTATGTGTTGAAAGGGTTTGAGAGAGGTTCTGCCTCTTGGAATTTCTTTTACTCCATTAGACTTTTTAGGGTTTAAAAACAAGATGAACTCTTTTCC